CTATATATTTATCAATCTGTCTCCCGAGTGAAAGAAGTGGAAGTAGAAGAAGAAGAAGGAGAAGAAGAAAAGGAAGAAGCAGAAAAAAAGAGAGGGAGAAGGCGAAAGAGAAGGATCAAGAAAGGGAGGGACAAGGAGGAACAGAAGGGGGAAGGAGGGGGGGGGGGCAAGAGCGAATGGGGTATTAAGTATAGATACCTCAATCAATGTTCCAGTACAGCGTGTCCATGTATAAACAACAGCGGCCGAGGTATGAATGAATAAACTAAGCATAGTACATTGTCACCGTTGATAAAACATTCAGACATTAAATTGATTCATGTGAATTTGTGATTGATTTTCTCCTTTTTTTTTCGTCTCTCTCTCTCTCTGAAGGGAATGCAGGAAGGTAGCTATATATTTTTCTTCTTCTTTTTTTGTGGTTAGTTAAATGGAATTTGTTTTCTTGCGTTATGTTGGGAGTAAGTGGAGTATGTTTAGTATACGAATAGCGTGTGTGTTCATTCTTAAGGTTGGAACACACAAAGACACACACACACACACACAAACACACACACACACAAACAACCCCAAACACACACACACACACACACACACACACACACACACACAACCACACACACACACACACACACACACACAACCACACACACACAAACACACACACACACACACACACAAACAACCCCCCAACACACACAAACACACAGACACACCACCCATCTACACCAACACACATACCCATCTCTATACATCTACACACACACATATAATCACAGTGCCATCCACAGACGTGTCAATACAGCCAAAGCCAATTAGAACACGGTACTCAGGTGATGCCTACACCTTCGCCACAACCGCCTAATAACACCGAATCCCCTGCTAGAGCGAATCCACAATATCATTTGATGTTTGTAGGAGTAACCGACCTGACGTATGGGCGCCCCGTTCTGCCAATCACAGGGACGCTGGGTCGCCATTACAGTGCAGCGTATTAAATGCTTATCTGGACTTGATTTCGAGGTCTGGGGGGATGAGGGTGGATGAAGCTGGTTTGAGGGTGGATGAGGGTGGGATGAGGGTGGATGAAGCTGGTTTGAGGGTGGATGAGGGGGGAATGAGGGTGGATGAAGCTGGTTTGAGGTTGGATGAGGGTGGATTGAGGGTGGATGAGGGTGGATTGTCGGTGGATGAGGGTGGATTAAGGGTGGATTGGGGGTGGATGAGGGTGGTTGAAGCTGGTTTGAGGGTGGATGAGGGTGGGATGAGGGTGGATTGTCGGTGGATGAGGGTGGATTGATGATGGATGAGGGTGGATGAAGCTGGTTTGAGGGTGGATGAGGGTGGGTTGAAGGTGGATTGCCGGTGGATGAGGGTGGACTGAGGGTGGATTGTCGGTGGGTGAGGGTGGATGAGGGTGGATTGGGGGTGGATGAGAAATGATGTGGGTCGATGGGATGGTTGTTGATGAGGGATTGGTGTAGGTGGATGAGAGAATGATGTTGGTGGATACCGGTGGATGTAGGTGGATGGGTGATGAATGGGTGGGTGGTTTAGTGTGGTAGATGGATACAGGTGGATATGGATGAATGTAGATGGATGGAGTGATGGATGGAATTATGTGGTAGCGAATGCAGGTGGATGAAAAAAGGATTTAGGTGATATTAGACGGCAGATGGATTCAGGTGGATGAAAGAAGGATAATGAACGGATGCAGGTGGATGAGCTCGATTAGGTGGGTGAATGTATGCTTAGTGGAGGTGGATGAGGACGATAATTTAATGAATCAGATAAATACAGGTGGATGGATGAGGATTGGAGATGGATAGAATTGGATGAAGGACGAATAGAGGAATCGTTAAAGTGGATGAGGGATGAATCAGGTGGATGAGGAATGGATCAGGTGGATGAAAAATGCATAGAGTCGAGCAGGTGGATACACAAGTGACTGGTCAATATAAATGGATGAAGAATGGATGCATATAGATAGAAGATAAATATGGATGCATGGGTAGATGGATAGGGAGTCGAGGTGGATGAAAGACGTAAATGAGAGTGGATGTGGGTGGATGGATAAACAGAGGAGAAAGTGGTACAAGTGGATGAAGAAGAACTAATATATGTTGAATATATAAAGGTACTTAAATAAAAAAAAAAATCTGGTATATATTTTTCCTGCGATAAAAACTTCATAATATCATGTTATTACGAGAAAAAAAAATGCTGCAGTTTATTACTTTTAAACAAATAAACAAACAACAGACATTCTCTGGACTGAAGTGGCACTCAGCTAACTTAGATACTTCTTATTAAAGAATTCCCAGAAGAGAGTTAAGAGAAATAAAAGCTTAGTCATATCAGCAACATTTCTTTATATATAATGCTGTGTATATATATAATGCTGTGTATATATAATGCTAAATGTATAAAATCCTAAATGTATCTGCTATCAACACGGTTCCAATTCACATTCATTGTATATTATGCTAAATGTATATAG